AACAAGTTACGTAGTACATCTTGTGCGCAGGGGATTGACCGTGCCTCCATCTAATCTGTCACCTGGGAAGACTGAAAAATGTACATTTTATCATCACATGTATTGCAAAATCCTGAGTCCTTTATACTACACCAGTCTTGTATATTCTTTATTGGATGTCTCATATTAACTGATGTATAGAAATACACCTTGAATCAATTCAAAGCATCTTTTAATAGCATCTTTAGGCATAAGTGCTGTGTGGGATTTGGAGCTAGATGATGTGTTTGTTAAGAGAAGCTCTTAAATTTTCACAGAGTAGGGAGAGAATTTGAAAAGAAAATGGGCACACTTCTTTTTCTTTCATTTACAGGCAGAGTGGTTAAGACTGGAGAGAAATAGTTCCTAAAGAACACCATTGCATCAAACAATCTGTAAGTATAAAATAGAACCAGTATGAGAAAGGGAAAGTACGATGACAGATTGAGAGTCTTGTCTTGTAAAATTGCTGCAGAAGGTGGAGCGAGGGCTTGAGAACTCTAGGGAGTGCCAGTGAGGGGGCAGAAGAGAAGTGTATTGCACATCTTACTTAGAAGATAATTCAGTTTAGAGAGGCAGATGAAACATAGGCTAGGAGTTTATATTGCATGGAAACTCAACACAATGTTCTTGGTTTAGAACAGTGTTTTTAATATTCAAAATATCCCACTCTATAGGCACTGCAAAGATGTACCATTTTACAACTCAGTTTTGCAAACAAGTTCAAATGGGTGCTGGGATTAACCTCTACAGAGCTTTCTCTAGGTTTGAAACTTCTACCACAATCCCCAAAAAAAGAAATGTATCTTCGGGATACATAGATTGGCAGTTGCAAAAATGACTTTAACCTCTTCTACCAACTTTAAAAAAAACAGGATCACTTCAGTCTGCCCTCAGATCATGAGCCTTTGGGAAAGACTAGATCCGTGTAAATAAAGCCTCCATTTTTTATGTAGCCAGAGTCAAAGCATTTGTATTAGGGGAACTTCAAGGTTATAAAACTATAATCAGGAATAGAAAGACCAAAAAAAAATAGTAGTAATAATTGACATCTAGTAGATACAATATAAATGTATCACATTGGGATTAATGAGAGCTAGTTAAGGATCTAGCAACTCTAAAACCTGTAGCACATCAAAGGTGCAGTCTTAGTTAAACCAATCAAACTGCAAAATAGTTTAAAATTCCTGTGCATCTGTATGAACAATATTTGCTATACTTGTATTTTCTGTCTTTGTATTAAATTACTTCCATTTTAAAGTAATGATACTATTATTCCCAAACAGTAACAGTAAACAGGTGCAAAATAATAGGAATGTACTTCAAATGAAAATGGGTAGATGTACAGCAAGCATATGATCTGTTTCAACTGAACATTTTTAGTAATTTACAATGCAAATTTCCAGAAGTATAAAGTAGATTAATAAGAAGAAAGAAGCTATCAGTTTTTTTAAAGGAAAACTAGTTAGCATATATTAAGTTACCTGTCAAATCTTCCCAACCCTCATGTCCTAATATATTTTGAAGCTCTTCTACAGCATTTAACAGTGTTGAAGATTTCAAAGGCATTACACTGATATGAATATGGGCAGAAGCAGTGGCCAGACAGCAGAGAGAGATCATGGAATCATAGAATGGTTTAGGTTGGAAGGGACCTTAAAGATAGTCTAGTTCCAACCCCCCTAACTTGGGCAGGGACACCTTCCACTAGACCGTGTTGCTCAAAGCCCCATCCAACCTGGCCTTGAACACTTCCAGGGATGGGGCATCCACAGCTTCTTTGGGCAACCTGTTCCAGTGTCTCACCACTCTCAGAGTGAAAAATTTCTTCCTAATATCTAATCTACATCTCCTCTCTTCCAGTTTGAAGCCATTCCCTCTTGTCCTATTTATTTCAAAATATCCAATATTTGTATTTAAATACATTTTCATCTATAGTAAAAATCATGACTATATGGTGCAAAACTTAAAATGTAGTTAACTTACTCTATTAAAGTATTTTTCCCAGTGGCCATAAATCTTGAGGCAAATGTTTTTATATATAGTGTACTGTAATTTCTTTGTGTAATTAGTTTAAATATTAGGTCAAATTAGATTAATTTAGACAATCATTTCATGCAATTCCCAGCTACAGTATTAATATGAACTAAAATTTCTTCTTTTATATGAAAGTCAGTCTGGTGTTAGTGGATGTTAACAGCAAGAATTGTGAGAGCCTAAAATTTCTGTTTATCTATCATCTTGTTCTGCAGTACAAAAATCACTACAATATGGATTCCTAAGGCCTGCAGTTGGGAACACTGTAGAGAATGAGATGTATATATGATGCAAGGGAAATGATCAGTTGTATTCAAAGTAGAGAATTCTGGATTAAGAATCTTGAGTTCTTTTCATGATTGTTCTGATACACTGTATGCTTGGGGTACAGTTCTTCAGCAACACGTATTGATCTCTGGTCTTCATTGTGAGGTACCTTGGTCTTGGTTTTCAGAGATACTGAATTCTCTCATGTTCACGTAAATGGAACAAATAGAACAGAGGTGGGGGAGAGAGTAAAAAGTTATGTGAGTTTTACAGGTATAAAACAAATACATCTGTGAATTGCTTTATTTTTTGAAGAAATTGTCTTGCGGAAGGTCCTTACTGTGAAATGATTAGTGTGATCTTGTCAACAAGCTCAGGAAGAGCATTGCTATCTTTTCAGTCTTTGAAAGACAAGAAATGAATGGAGCTACTTATGTGTTTAATGTGAAAGGGGTGGTTTTGTACCTTGCTCAACTGGGATCTAAAGCAGTGCCCATCTGTTTTAGTCAGTGAAAATTGTATGAAGTCCAGTTGTTGTGTCAGTCCAGCTTCAGAGAGTGGAAGCAGGAAACGCTGCAGGGCACAGATTTATTCAGTGGGAATCACAAGTGCTCTGTACCATCTGGTGTAGTATTCAGCATCTTGTACCCATACCACATTGATACCCATCTCCATCAATCAGGTTTGTGCTGCATTCGTACCAAAGTATTAGTACTTAAGCTGTGCAAATTGATGCTATACACAGGACTACAAACTTCAGGCTTGATTTCATAAGAAGGGAGTACTAAATGGAAACACAAAGAGAGCATTACCCCCTTTATATATGACATTTGCAAGATCAGTACTGGAATACTAGTTATAGGCTACCCACATTTTAAGGAGGATGAGATTTTATTAATGAGAAATATGGCTAATAGAGAAGCTCAGAGTGAAGCGGTGACTTGATCATGGAGCCATGAGATCATGGTGGTGTTCACAGAGGAAAGATTTTTCTGGTAGTAGGCAACTCTTTAATCTGTTAGTCACAACAGAAGTCAGTCTCTGGAAACTGAGATTATAAGCAAGGTGCAAATTTTAACAATGTAATCAACTATTGAAAAAACATACCTGTCTGTTACAGTCAGTCTTTAAATGACAGCTGCATGCCTTTAGAAGATACAGTGTAGCGCAGATACTGTGGACGTAATGCAGAAGGTGCTGGTGGGAGTCAGCGGAGGTCAGACAATTCTCCCTTCTGATCTTAAACCCTCTGAGTTGGAGGCACAGAATTCTCTTAGTACATAATGCTAGACTGTTTCTCCATGCATCAAGAAATGTTCAGGTAGTCCAGAAAAAAGTTCTGGAAGGCTGTTGCTCAAATGGGATCTGGTTGTATTTAGGCAGAAAAACAATTTGGGGGGCAAAGTACTATCTAGACATTGTCTTGAGGATGTGGCCCTGTTTTATTGCACACTTAGTACACGCAGTAAAATATAGCCCTGGGTATTAAGAGTTGTTCTGTAAAATTGAAAGGAATTTTAAAGCAATTATTGAGAGCGTTTTTGATACAGCTCCAGAATGAATTAAGAAACTGTTTTTAATGACTGCAGGGACTAGTCTCTCTGAGGGTGGGAAAAAATGGTAGCCTGGAGAATAAACATGATGAGATTGGTAGATTCTTTTTAATGAAAAGACTCAAACTGAGAAAATTCATCAATAAATGTGATGAGCAAATGTTTAACCTTTAGGTTTGGTTTGTGTTCTCATTCCAGACTAATATGGTTAGAGAAACTTAAAACATTTGTGAGTGTTGAACATATGTTTATAGAGTAATTACATTTAACATCAAGAAGTTCACAAAACACTTTCCGTATTCCTGTGTTATGTGCCCTTTTGTATTAATGTTTTCTAAAGGTCATGTTGAATAGTATATTCAATTCTAGCTTCTTTCTAAGGTACTGGAGGTGGCTGCTTTAGAAGATATTTTTCCCAGCTGTAGTCATTTCTTGCATTTAAATATATTGTTAGTGTTTCCATATATCCTGTTACCTTGACATTTTCCAGTAGGTGAACAGATTAAGATATTATTAAACTTCATGATTAAGCAAGTTTGGGGTTTTTTGTTTTTAACTGTAGCTATATTTGTGCATTTCAAAATGTCACTTTGTTGCTACTGAGACTTCCCCTCTGTACAGGATTACCTTTGTTCAAAATGTGTCGTGCAAGTCAGTGATTAACAAAGGATTGGTTAATGTGGTTTGTTACATTATGCAATTTTGATATTACACCTCTTTCCACCGCGGGGGGTGTGTGTGTTACTGAGCACAGAGAGCTGCCTCCAGGTCTGCTGGAAACAACTCGGCTGCAGGAACCTCCCGCAGCATCTGCCAGGTGCCGAGGCCTGGCTCGGCAGGCGGCCTGCCCGGCTGGGGCAGGGCAACGGGGAGCACCGGCGGGTGCTTTGCCCGTCGCTGCTCCCCGGCCCTCGGGGAAGGCGCGGGCGTCGGGCCCCCGCCCCGCGGGAGAGAGGCGGTGTCCTGCGCGTCCTCCCCCGGGTGGGGGCTGGCCGCGGCACTTCGGACAGCGCCCGCCCTAGCGGGGTCCTGCACCCTTGGGCCAGCAGCACAGGCGCAGGAGAGCAGATTCTTGTAAAAACAAACAAAAAATGGGTTTCCCTTAGCAACCATCCCATTTAACGAATGATAAATGTGTTACCCTCTCGTATGTCAGACTCCATAGCGCTTTTTACAGATCAATCAAGCCTGCCGAAGTTGTAAGTGCCAGCCTGACATCTGGTGGCTGAGGCAGCCTTAGCGGCACTGCGGACGCGGG